TTGTGCGGCCGTTGTGCTCCCCTGGGTGGGGGGGAGCCGCTCCCCAGGACCGCGGGAGGGGAGGTGGGACTGCAGGAGAGGGGTGAGCAGCTATTCACGGCAGTGCTCGGGGAGCGGGGTCTGCGGGGCGCCTGCGCGTAGCACATCCATTTCATCAGCAGGTAGCTGTGCGTGCGTGGCGTGTGGCGTCTGTGCAAACCAGGAGTGTGTGTGAGAGCAGAGGGGAGCAGCGGGGTGAGTAAAGCCTTTGTGCAAAGCTTCCAGCGTTCCCGTTGGGCACAGGGGAGAAAGGCGCAGGTGAGTGCCAGGAACGCTCTGTATTGAGTCTCTGGCACCGCACGGTGTTCCTGTTACCACAGAGTTCAGTTTTGGGCACTAGCCTTTCCCCACCTCGTGCTTTCTGAATGAAAGGCCAAAATCTTCTTTGTCTGCCGCCTCTGTGTCTGCCTCGGCTTTCCCGCAGGTCTGTCACTGTTTGCACCCAGGGGCTCGTGTTGGTCCTGTCCTTCGCTGTGGCTTAGATTTGTGGTTTTTTTTTTTCCCTGTTCTTTTTAAAGAAAATTGTTCTAAAGAAAATATTCCAGTTCGTCTCATGTACCAGAGTTCCAAAACTTACTATCCCAAGTAGGAATGCAAAAGTGATGCTAGAATAAAGAAAACCTGACAAATGGGCGCACGGCAGTGGTTCATCCAACGCGGTACCTCTGAGGAAGTAAGGAAATATCTTTGGCTTTTTCTGTCGAGCACGTGATTCTGCTCCAATTACGCCGAACTTCACAGGTTTATTTGGGAGCTAAAATTGTAGCATTAAGCTGGGGCTAAGCCAGAACCTTCCCCTGCGCCACAGCCACCAAGTACAACCCAATGGAGCATCCCAAAGGTAAACTAAGTGTTGAAGCTTGAGGATTGCAAACCAATCCTAGCACGACCCTTCGGGCCTCACAGCGCGCAGCTGTTCACAGGACTGTTCCTCATCTCCTTTACGAATGCTCGGTAACGGTTGAAAATTGCGCACACCAGCTCTGTTTTTTGTCTGCGCGGTGGGCGTTTGCTGCTCAGCCCCTGCAGGGCACGAGCCAGCCTCGCCGACCGGTTGGCTGTGGGGTCTGCGGAGGTTTCTGACTCCCGGCAAGGCACGGAGCGCGGTGGGGAGGACGGGCTGGCCAGGCTCCGCACCGGGGCACCGCATCTGACACCCGGGAAATCTGGGTGCGGGGAGGCGAGCGGAGGGGTTGCGAGCGTTCCTGCCTGTCTGGTTTTAGGAGTTGTTGGTTGTTTTCTGAAGACAGGCTCTATGACGTGAAAAGCTGAAGGTATGCTTCGTTTAGTTCTTCAGTGATTAAGAATCTTTTTAGTAGCTGTGATTAAAGTTCCAGGCTCTCCCAGGGGTACACAGTATTTATTTAGAACTGACCCACTCAGATTGACAGATAGCTGTCATGAGAATAGCTCCCGTGTATTGCAGCTGGAGTTTTTAAGCCAACCGTATCTCTTTTTTATCTTTTTTTTTTTTTTAACTAAGTAGCAAAAACCCACCACAAACCTGTGTGAAGATGCAGACCTCTGATCTCTTTCCAGCTGTTAAAGCTCTCCGAAGCTTTCTGTACAAAAGGGAAAGTGCATTTTTAGTGCAATGCTTCTGATATTGTTGTATTCTAATTTTCTGTCGTGCTTGAAACCCTGAGTTGGGCCCTGCCCGGAAAAGCCCCGGTGCAGGGGCTGAACTGGGCGCAGGGCAGTTCTGGAGTAAGAGCTCATAAACAGGGGGCAGTTTAAAACCAACACGTGGCCAGCGTTTTCACTGTGAAGCCATGTGCCACAAGGCTTATGGCGCTCTGCAGAGCGAGAACAGGACCCTCCCGCTTCTCCTGAGGCTGTGCGTTCAGACACAGCCGCCGGGCCAGCGCCGGCCGTGCGGAACAGCACACAGCTACGTTTGAGTTGTGCGTTCGGATGAACAAGTCCGCTTGTCTGAACGGGAATGTTTGAACCGTTCCTGGAGGAAGCAGCGGGGACACCGAGTGCTGAGCTCTGTCCCTGTAGCATTGGCAGTAGGTGTGCCAAGCAGCTGTGGGCTCCCCAGGGCTCGTCTGATTTATAGAGGACGAGTATTAGGTCTGGCTACTCCTAATTATATCGGCAGCCAGCCATAAAGCAGTGTTTGGAGGCTCTGGCTTTGCCCTGGGAGGAGCTTTTAGGCACACAAATCTGGAATGGTGTTCCAGTGTTGTAAGACACAGCTGCGTGCTCAGACGCTTTCATTCCCCTCACTTGGGTTCTCTGCGCTTCAGCATTAACCGTAACGCAACGGTGGCACTAACGCTTTGCATTTTGTTGCGCTTGGTTAGAGCCGGTACCGCTCCGGGATTGCCTCCGGAACAGTTGCCGTGATAAACAGATGGGTCAGGTGGGGCCACCCGGGTGTGACTTCAGTCCCCACAGCCAAATTTGGGTGCCGGGCTGATGAAATTCATGGCCTGTTGCAGGGAAGAGGCTCTGCCACACCTGTGAGGGCAGGTCGGGGAAAGAGCAGGACATCACTGCCGTGCTCTGACGGATACTGCCTCTCCCTGGGACAGCGCTTACAGGGAGGAAAGGCACTTGAGTAAGGTTAAAAAGAATAATAATAAAAAAATAATAAAAAAGCAGGTGAAGGGAGTGGTGGTGGGGACAGAATGTGTTTGAACACTGGGAAAGTAAGTTTACAGAAAAACCCTCAGGTGACATCGGCAAAAGAATTAGAACTCTTTATTATTAAATAATTAACACTACACCGATTCAGAACTCC